CATTTACTTAGCTTAGCATCTGTCTCTGGACTGCGTTATTTCAACAGGAGCTGCAGCTGGAAGGGGTTTACCATCTGCTTTTGTCATCCAGCTCAACAAAAAGTGTGAAGGACCCCTGAGACCCGCTGAGGGCAAATTCAGTCCTGCATCAAAACCAAACAGAGACGCAACTCCATTTATACGGCTTACTGTAACTCTCAGAGGGGTCCTGCTGCCTCACTGACCAGCTCAAGAGGCCAAACCCTCATTCCAGGCTGCTGCAATCCCCACGTGCAATACTTTGTGCAGAAAATGTGAGGTCATGATACACTTCCATTTGTCTGGCACTCCTAAGCTTGTTTCACATTAGCGCCATTAGAGGGAAACTTGGGATAAAAGCTGGGAGGTCTGAAGGTGACAAAATGTGAATTTAATAAGCCGAACCAGGAGCGAAAATGAGCCGAAAAATATCACCACCGAGTCCAGCCTGACGCGCTGCAAAAACACAAAGTCTTACCAAGTACTTTTAATCAAATTCTAGTGCAAATACACAAGTAAACCTGAGATTAAACAAAATAACTTAAAACTAACTTTTCAGCAAGAAGTAGGGCACGTGTCAAACTTGAGGTCCAGGGGCCAAATCTGGCCCGCCATAGCTTTTTATATGGCCCTCTAGACTCCAAATTACGTCAATAAGTCCCTCCAGTTTTCCGTACAATTCACACAAAAATCAACAGATCCCCACATTTGTTTCCCCTGATTTTCCTAACATTTTTCCCTGAAAATTGGCTGCTTGATGTCAAATTATATCTGTGATCAATACAACGATTGATAGTCACATTTAACATCATACATGAGCACAAATATTGTAAAAATTCCTTACCAAGATTTATAAATTAGCACCACAAAATTTGTGATTTTGAAAAATAACATCAAAATCCTGGATGGACTGATTAAACAATTAAAGATTTAAGAAACACGAATGCTGAAACAAGCTGCTATTTATCAATATTTTAATTTAATGGGGGTTTTTTAATACATTTTGGTACCCTTTAAGAACATCCACATTTTTCATATGACCCAAAATTAAAATGAGTTTGACGTCCCTGAAATAGAGGTTTGTTTTAAGCAAAAATTTATGAAAAAGTCCTTGCTCCATTGGCAGAGAAATTAACTTATAACATGGGAAAAATGTTTTGTTGCAAGTGAAATAATCTGGCAGGTGAACTGGAACTGGGTTGCCCATTGATAGTGGCATAGGTTTCTGCCAAAGGAGCATCAGTATTGACACTACTTGTAAGTTGGTTTGTCCTATTTCAGGTTTACTAAAACATTTGCAGTAGAAACTAGACCAAAATTACTTGGTGAGATTTTGTTAACATGGTTAAAAAGGACAGAGCAGCCTTTGAAATTCCCAAGCCAGAGAAATGGCTGAAAGCTACGACAACACGACCACAGTGACACAAACAGGCAGCGATACGCAGCTCGCTCTACGGCGACTATCTGCCGTTTCAGAAAACATCAGAACTTTGTTGCCGTTAGCAGGGAGAACAGAGATGGAAGCTCAGCTTCATCGCGGCCGTCTCTTCATCCACTTAGAAACCTCTGCCCGCCCACGCTACCTGGATCTGATCTGCTTCTTCAACGGAGGAACAAAGTGTTACTGCCGCCTTAATGGACGAGTTAAGAAATGAAAAATATGCAAAAACGTGAACTGTTTGACAGAACTGCCTCATTCTTCTTCTTTAAAACGGACTTTGCTTCAATATTTATCTTGTATTGCTCATTTTCTATAAAAACAACCCTAATTTTTTTGTTTTTGTTTTTATGGATGAACCGATCCACATTTTTCACTTCTGATACCAATACCGATATCTGAGGTTTAGCATTGGTCAATACCAATCCGATAAAGAAAATCAGCCTTGAATGGACTTACATTTTCTTTTTTTTTTTTTTTTAAACAGATAAATTAACTGTATTACAAATTTATTTGATAACTCTGCACCAGTAAAGCACACATAGTTTCACAGGTTTGGTCAAATATGTACAAACAAATTCAATTTGATCAGTCAGTGAATTCAGGAGTATTAAAGCCAATGTAAAATAGATAAACTGACAAAATAATTGGTTGGAATATGCAAAGTAGGTTTCCGGATATTTTGGGTGCTATTTATGAAGCAGAGTTTTGTTTTTTTGTGCGATTTTATTTTATTTTAAAGTACCAACTCCATATCCTGCTGAGAGCTGTGAAGGAATCACACCATTCGCCATCAAGAGCGATCTCCAGAGAAAACGGACTGACAATGGACCGAGTCGGACCAGGGAGCCTATCCATCTGCAGAACAATCTGTACCACCAAGACTGGGGCGAATAAATTAGTAATATTTCTCCCATGGCTACAACATTTTAACAGCTTATTAATAGGTAGCTTTATCGATACATTTTGCTAACACCGGCTCTCTGAGGATCTTCAAGATCTTGATGAAATTAAAATGAGTTTCACATCATAAGAACAAAAAAAGAAAATGTGATTTTTGAATCTTTATATCCCCTATTGATGGGAAAGAAGGGAAAACTAGTTACTTTTGACTTTTCTGATACATTCTGACCATGTGTGCCTTTTAACTTTGAATTGAATTAACCTGCTAAATTAATTTGTAGAAGAATATGAAGTACAAAGCAGGAACGATTGCAGTTTTCTGGCCGATCATCAGTCTTTAAACGCCTGACCTGCTGATTCCAATTTTGGCCGATACTGATTTCGTTTGTCTGAAAAGTTGCTAAATATAGTAGAAAATGTCTGAGTCGGCAACAGTGGAGTTTATGAGCATCAAAAACCAATGAAACAAAAAGTTCAAAACCGGATTTGGTTCAGTTTGATCAGGCACGATAATTATTAGCAGGCCTGTCACAATACATTTTGCTGGACGATAAACTGTTTCAGAATATATTGCGATAAACGATAATATTGCTGTTTTGAGACCATTTTCAAGTAATTGCAATGCCGTAGAAATGCAAGAACACATTCTCAGAGATCAATAAACTTTCAGTTCAGAACTGGAACCGGGAGGCATTTTAAATATCCAAAATAAATAAACAGAAACGACAAATAAAATGAATCATGACGTCTCTGGAAACAAAATTAGCCTTCAAAATAAGTGGCTAGCTGAGACCAAAACACTCCCTTTGCTGAAAAGCTTTGAAATCTCTCGTGTGTACAAAACCTTGAAACTTTGTTAATTCTAGTTGTCAGCCATTATTGTTTTTGTCTATTAGTCCTCATAAATAATCCCTAACATTAGTTAAAAGAACATCCAGTATAGCTTTAAAAAAAACAAATCAACTTACAGTTGATACGAAATCTTTCATTGAAAATGTGTATTTGCTAAAACCATAGAGTTGTTGAAAAAGGAGATTCACATTCTTTTCTGAGCTGAAGTTTTGTGATCGACTGCAGCCTGGCGTTGCCAACATGGACACGTCAAAGCACAAGCATGTGCTAAAAGAGTGGCGCTACACCGAATGAGCGACGGAAATGCATCATAACGACGTCTCCAACTGTTAGTTTGTTACAACCTGAACAAGAATCAAACATGGAGAATCAACGTTTAGCTTCATACAAACATAGAACTCAACTCAGAACAACTGGGACCAACATCTAGTTTTATTCTTCACCAATATTTGATTTTTTTACCTCACTAATCCAGAACAAGCTTAAAATCCAGAGAAAGCTTAGAAATTATGGATTACTTATTCTTATTAAACATGGGGAACCAACATGTAGTTTTATGCCTCACTAGTCTAGAGCAAACTTAAGAAACCCCTGTTCAGGTTTCAACCAGTCTAATATAAGCCTGGCGGGTCACCAGGCTTTAATTGTGCCCCCACCAGGCTAAGCATTACTTATATATTTAATTCCTTTGAAATGTTTGCATTTTAAAATACTTTAAAGCTGGTGTAAAGGTATTAATCTTCCAATTTAAACAATTTTATGGACTAGTTATTCTTATTAAATATGGGGAACCAATAGGCGGTTTTATATCTTACCTTTTTGACTTTCTTTTGATTTTGTTTGTATTTCCTTCTAATTCGTGTCTCATTGAATTACCTTGTTGCTGAAAATGTGCTATGTGAATAAAATTACCTTAGCAACAAAAAAACTTCAGGAAGAAAACGCCGAAGAAGATCGGCCCATGAGAAACAGACCTGAAACGAACAAGCCTTGAAAGGCTGGGGAGGAAAACTGTTGCACACTCACAACAACAGCCTGAATTACCATTCCCCAACCTGGACTCAATGTATGCACCTGTGTGTTTTATTTAAGGCTCATCTTAAGCAAAAACATGCACAGAGATCATGTCATTTTAACATAAACAGCAGCAGCAAAGACAAGCAGAGCTCCCTCTTCCTGCTGGTCACAATTTGTTTTAAAATGCAGCCATGAATCAGAAAAGAAGTAGTTAGTGTTGGATTATTTTCATCTTTTAAGCCACACGTTTATAAATGGAGCAGAAGAGATGAAATAAGCAACAGGAAAGACTTTCATTGTGCATGATGAGTAACATCTTTATCTTGGCTGCATTGTAACTTTACACTTGTTGGGTGGAGTGGAGGGTTGAGGCGGTGCAGGCTGTATAAATAGCCCCGTGGAGAACACGGTCCGTGTTGTGTGTGTGTCGGTAATTATCGATAATCTGCTGCTGATATTCAGGAAAAAATCAAACCGAGCCTCATTGATCCCGGTTAAGTTCCATCACTAAGCTGTTTTGCTCTCATACTTTCCATTTGAAAGAATCACATGAGCAGAAATAAACAATAAAACCGCCTTCAAACTACTTTAACACAACAAAATGTGTTTAAAATGTAACCTAGCATTGGTTACATTTTAAAGGGAGCAGTTTAATATTTAACCACAAAGACGTGAAACAAAGCGCGGAGCATCAAAAATCAAAAGTGTATTTTTGACGTAGAGAGCGACAAACACGGCGAAAACACGCGGGAAGTGAGAAAGGGTAACTTACGGCGCGGAGCGAGGCGGGATCCGGAGTTTGGTCGACGGGAACGTTGGCCGTGTTCACCGGGAGACGGTGAGCGGTTTGTGGGGAAGCTCGTGGAGGCGCTCGGTGCTTTCAGGCAGCGGCAGCAAACACTGCACTGCCGTAATACCACGCAGCAGCGAGCGCGAACAAACCTGCCTGCTGTCACCGTAAAACGGAAACAAGTGCGCACATGGAAAAAAAAAAGTGTAAACACAAACCAGTTCAGAAAGAAATAAATTAACGATAGTTGCAATTCGTGTCATGAAAGTCTCTGTGAAGGTGAAGTATCCATGCATGTACAGCAAGACTTTCTGGCTGTGAGGTCACAGTGCTATACAGTAACACTAATCAGTTAATCAAAATGTTACTTTAGTCATTTTTGTTATTCCTTAGTTTTTTCTGTTTAGTTCTGCCTTGTTTTCCATTTCTGTTCTTCCTTAGTGATTCTAGTTATGTTTATTTCTTGTTTCTGGTTTTATTAGATTTGTTCAGTCTAGTTATTCCTTGGTGTTTGCATTTTGCTTCTTCCCCCTGTGTGACTCCCCTCCCCCCATTTCTGTAAATTTGATTCTTTGCTTTCTCATTAAATATTCACAACTCTTGCCTACTCTTGCTCTTGGGTCCAGTCATACTAGACCATATAAATGTAAGTTATTTCTTCATCAATTGTTTAAAGGCAAAGAAATGTAATTTAAGATTTTTGCTTTGTTGTTTTTGTTTGGCGAGGTTTTGGTGTGGACCTGTAACAGAGATCACTGGCGCTGGTTGACTAGAAACTCTAAAGAGATGAATAAACAGAAGATGAAATGCAAAGCCACTTCTGCATGCAATAAACCACAGCATACAATATTTACCTCGTAATGTCTGGATAAAGCTTGTGTAGGGGAGACAGAGAAGGTTAACTGAACATGACGATACTTTTCCCTGGTTAATTATCTCACAAACTGTACAGATTGATCCAAGGATATTTAGTAAAGTGAGAAAAAAAAACAGTCAAGCAACTTCTTACACTGTAAAACATTTGAGCTGCATTTAGTTGTGTCTACTGTCTTTTCCTCTTTAAGTAAAATAAATTTATCCAGTTTTAGATTTTGAACCTAAATGTGAGTTTGTGAAAGATAAACTTGCAGCAGTTAGTTGTGTTAACTTTTATTAATTCAGTCAAACCTCCAAGAGTTGAATAAACTACAGTTTTTAGGTTAGAACTTAAAAAACTGAAAGAAGAGAAAGACAGGAGTGGGAACTATTTCCCAGAATGCTTAGCAGCATGTTTTTGTCTCCTGAGATGGAAGTGCGTCACATTGATCTGACTCTTGTGTTTTATTAATGCAAATGTTCATTTTAATGCAATTCTCAGTTAGCAAAGCTTGAGGATAATGTCCTGTTCACACTAAATGTTTCTGAGCTGAATTCATTGGGATGTTTAATAAAATTCACCATCACATCAGAAACTTTGTTCCTGCAGTTTGAAATAAGAGTTTAAATTATTATAAAGTAAAATAAGTAATTATTTTAACTTTATATTGTGAGTAAAATAACAGAGAAATGTGGCTCTTTAACTCAGTGAGGGTGGATTTTTCATTAAAACTCACAATTCAAGATTAATGAAGTTATAAAACAATGTTTAGACGACTGTCTAAACAAGTTGTTAAATAAACTTCATGAACTTTAATTTCTGAGTTAAAACCAAAGCAATTTTCTTGTTGACTTAAATTACATTTTCAAGGCAGCAGGTGGACGTTCATTTTCAAGTTAAACCACCTGTAAATGTTTTACAGTGCATTTCTAAAAATGGACAACTCTATGCTTTAACAGCTTTAACAATTTGAAGCAGCAGTAAACAGTTAATATATATACATATATTGAATGGTGTAGTGGTTTTTCTGTGATCTTCTGTGTTTGCAGCAGCATCCAGGTGCTAATAAAACAAGCTGCTCAGTTTCGCGAAGTGCTGCTGCTTCACTGCTGGAGAAAATACCACTGAGGATTTGCTGGATGTTGGCAGCAAGACGAAGTGGCTCACATTAAATAGAGCAGCTCTATGGCAACATAAATAGATTTCTCTGGGCGAATCAGCTCCCTGTATATGTTAATTGCAGGTGGAGGTGGGAACAAATCTTGTTTTTCTTGCACATGTATATTTTTAGGATCTGATCTCTTTCACTCTGTTTTGATAAATGAAGACTTGTCCTCAGAGGGAGGCGCAGGATCGTTTTTCTGAATCGTGGCTGAGTGGGCCGCACCTGAATGCTGCTCTGTCAAAAAGCTATTTGGGAAATATTTCTAACAAAGATGTCTAACACAAGAATGAAAAGAAGCTTTTTCATTTTGCAATAGTTCCTGCAACACAGGAAAAACCAGAAGGTGGACAGATGGATAAATGTTGGAGATGAACAAAACAGATTTAAGGTGGAAAATAGGTGAAAATTTAAATATCCTGGGGTGCAAAGTTTTCATGACGAAATAAGCTTGGAGACACAGTAGCTTTGCTGGTTAATATTTAATAGTGCTTTGCAAAGTATGCATGCTCTTTGAACTTTATCACATTTTGTCACATCACAACTTCAGACCTGAGTGTATTTTATTGGGACAAAGTCTCTATATATTTGTTTTCATAAAGGCAGAAATTATGATGAATTTAGCTGATGGTGAATGGCTCTAATCTGCAATCTGTCAAAATAGGATCTGAAAGCAGCTCAAGACTTTTGAGATTGCATGAAGACAATCAGTGAGAATGGACATAATGACACCATTTTTCCTCACATTACACATAAAACATTTAGTTTTAGTGTCTTCTAACCACATTGCTAATGTGCTTTGTAGACCTACAATTAAGACCAACTCTTTCCATTTTCAGCTAGATTGACTGAGCAGAGAGATATTTAAAGCTTTGGATGTTGATTTACAAGCTGACGCTGCACAAATTTACAAATTACCTCTCTGTTCTTTTCCTTAACAACCAATTTGTTGACAAAAGTTCCCTAACAAACCTCTGAGATGCAATTATGCTGAGATCAAATTAGTGTTTAGAACTGTTTAGAAGGCAACTTCTATATGGTTGCCTCTAGAAGTTGCAAATCTCTCTTTGCTACATTTGCAATTTCTGAAGGCAACTGGTTGAGCTGGACACTATTTCAGGGTATCAAAGTAAAGAGGCCTGAATGGAGAATTTGTATAAAGTCATACAGTCCTTGCCTTATTTTGCTCTTAATTCAGTGAAGGAGCCTGATAGTTTATATTCCAAACACGCAAATGATTATACTGCAAGCATGTTGCCACCATCTAGTGGTTGGAGTGTGAACTACAATTGGTTGGGATTATTTATTTATTCTTTATTTATTTTCAGATTGTGCTAAATTTAATAAGCTGTTGTTCTACAGAAACACATAATGACTAATTTGGATTATACTCAACTTTCAACTTTATCATTTTAAAGCTGAAAATTTAACAATAATTTGCATAAATTAGCATGTAAGCATTCTTATACTTGCCAGCAATGCTCTGAATTATGTTGATTTGTGACACAAAATCCCAGTAAAAAAAAAATAAATAGAAGCTTCTGGTTGTAATGTGACAAAATATGAAACATTCTGGGGTTTTAATACTTTTGTATCACACTGTAGATTTGAGCGTTTGCTTGTTCATGACTAAACAATTTGATTTGTCAAATCAAATCAACATAAAAACACATTTAGCACCAGGAATAAGAAAACAAGTTATCTTCTTTACGAAATACTGAACATTTCTTTAAGTGTCTCGCTCGTCTCCTAAGCTATGATATTGAGAGCGTTTAAACATTAAAACGCAGGCCATGTTTTCTCACATGCATTATTATGACATCCGTCTCGCTGATGTTTGCCAGGTTACAGGCCTCTCATGGGAAAATGTGACATTTGAGCACAAGCAATGATGGAGGTGGGCAATGCTGCAAGATAATGGGGGTCGTTCAGAGGATAAGAAAAGCAGGGCAGGTGTGAGAAGACAAAAGACGAAGGTGCAGAGAGGCAGTAAATATGATTGTCTGCACATGCTTTGTAAAGTTTGCTTATTAAATCAGGAGACATGGGCTCTGAGAGGAGTGGGGGGCCTGGCATGTATGGGGGAGGGATATGTGCTTTGTCTTCACCCACACTCAGACCTGTCAAATGAAGGACACTCTTCTTCCACCCCCATCACGACGCAACCAATCAGGCGCCAGTGTTACAAAACCCGATTTCTGCCATCTTCCCGTCCCACTTGGTGGTGACTGGAACAAGGTGTTTCTCCGCTTTGTTCGAAGACAGGAAGCTTTAAATCCCATTTTGTGTTTTGTCATTCAATTCTTTTGTACGTTAAGAAGGGAGCAGAAAAAGCACATGCTGCATGCCTCCTTTTTCTTTTTATCATTTTCCAATAAATACGGTTATTTATAGGAATTCAGGCGAATCGAGTCACTAAACAGTTAAATCTGAAAATTCTGCTTGTGATTGTATTCAAGCCAGTTTTGATCTGTTTCTTACTGATGTGAGGATTGATACTTAGATACTGATTCTTTAAGAACTTTTGTGCTTTTAAAATTAATTCCCAATACTTCACTTTCTCGAAGTATTGATAATATCTTCACGAGAGCATTTTGGAAAGTAATTAAATTATATTTTTTTCTAAAAGAGTTGGGTTTTGACTTTTTCTTCAATCTGCTAAAAGTGTAATGAATTGACATGTCCTTGCAGATTAAATAATGAAACAAGGATTTAGGACTCGGATGATTCGAGCACATCGATCATTAAAATTCCTCAACAAAATTTTTATCTGTTAAATTATATTTTCCTATTTAGCGCTTCGTGTTCCGGCCTGGTCATTATTTGTGTTGCGCATCACTTTCACTTCCGCCTCTGAGTTGTTGCCCAGTGCTAAAATAAATTTACCGCCATCTTGGTCACAACAAATGGGTGGCAGAGCGCAGTGTTTCAGTGCATATCTGTCATTTGTGTTTTTATGTCACGAAGGGCGAAGAGAGAGTTCAGCTATTAAATTGACTGAAGATTAATACACGGGCAAAGAACTGTGAGCCTGCTGCTTTATTATTAAATTGAATATAATTTCATATTTT